GGCCATCCCTATACAGGGACCTGAACCTGTGGCCTTGGTGTTATCAGCACCACACTCTCCCAAGTGAGCTACGGGCCAGCCCAGAGAGAGATTTTTCAATGCACCTAGTTTCAATGCACGGTCGTCAAATTTTTCAGTGTACCTTAGTTGTGCAGTTGGAATGGGTCTGTTGTAATGGCCAAGGGTGGGAATCGAGCTGACTGTCCATCCTCAGGCTTAATAAACCAGTGTAAGCTCAGGGTGGAGAGGTGGGATTCCCGGAGGATGGATGTGTACCTATGTAGAGTGGGTCTCCTTGTGCATACTACATTTCTTAAGTGCCTACTGTGTGGTAGGCACTGATCTAGGCGGTGGGGACCCAGAGGTGAACAATTCTTTCCCTTCAGGGGAACACACATTTTATTTTAATTTTTGGTAGCTGGCTGGTATGGGGATCCTAACCCTTGACCTTGGTGTTGCAACGCCAGGCTCTAACCGAGTTAACTGGCCAGCCCGACACTCATATTTTAAAATGGGGAAACAGACAATAAAAAACAAATGCAGAAAAAGATCTTAGGTCCTACTCGGTGCAATGAACAAAACAAACGAAGGATACAATTAGTGATGGGTTAGGGAAGCCTCCCTTGAGGAAGTGACTTGGCCGGGTGGTTAAGATCAAGGAAATAGTGGATAGCTGGTGTAAATGTCCTGGGGTGGGGCGGGACAAGCTTATCTATTTTAAGGAAAGGGGAGGAGACCAGCGCACTGCGGGAGTAGAATGAAGGCGGTGTGTGGAGGTCAGAAAGTGAACATAGTGCAGGGAGGGTCATGCAGGGCCTCGTGAGCGATGGAGAGATAGGAGTGTGGTTTCTGTAGTAACCGCTGATGAATTTTTAGCAGGGGGAGGCACCCTATCTGATCCTTGGTGGTGACTTGGAAGATGGACTGTTGGGTGGATGGTAAAGTAGATCTTAGACCTTACCTCTATAATACATTATGCAATTATTCAAGAGGTGTTTGCTGTGTTCTAGGCAAAGGTAGAGTTCATGTGCTGTGTATTTCCTTCTTTGTAATACAAGATGTACCTATACGCTTTTATATGCAGAGAATAAAGGAAAATACAAAAACTGGGAGGGGAACAGTGGGAGAGCGGCTGACTTTTCACACTTGTGCTGCTTGAGTTAAAATTTTTTCTTTAATAACTACGCATTCAGTTAAGAACTCATTAGTTTTAAAAAACAAAGATCTTATTTTTTTTGGTGGCTGACCAATACAGGGATCTCAGCTCTTGACCTCGGAGTTATAAAAAACAAAGGTCATTTTGATGCAGGGCGTCGTTGAGGTGTGTGTTCATACAGGGGAGCCTGGTGCAATTGGGGAAAGGTGGGGTGATGCCTCAGAAGGGACAAGGACCTAAGGAAGGGAGAGGAGGGGCCGGATTTAAGAAATTTTGTAAAAGTCAACAGGATGTGGGGCTGAGGAGCGGGTGGGGCCATGGTGACTCAGGTTTGCAGTCTGAAGATGTCTGTAACCTAGATAGGAGACACAGTCTGTTAGAATATGTCAAACCTATTCCCTTCTCCATCCCCAGTGCCCTGTGCAAACCTTATCTGTCTGTCCTGCCCAGAAGGCCGTACTTCCTGCAAATGGGGTGACTGCCATGGCTGTGGGACCACGGGGCTTTAACTCAGAGTGCCAGGAGGGGAGGGCAGCCTGCATGGTGAGTGGGTTCGAGGGTAGAAGCTCAGATTCCTCTTCAGCACCCAGGAAATGCCCAACTGATGAGGTTGGGTGTTCTCTCCCACCAGTCCCCCCTCCAGCCCCCCCCTCCCCTGAAGTCTTGAAGTGAAAAAAGCACACAGTAGTGGTTGGCAGTGGAGTAAAGAAAATCAGAGATGGAGAATACCAAAGACATTCAAGGGATTGTTAAAAGCTTTTTTTTTTTTTTTTTTTTTTTTTTAAGATGACCGGTAAGGGGATCTTAACCCTTGACTTGGTGTTGTCAGCACCACGCTCAGCCAGTGAGCGAACCGGCCATCTATATATGGGATCCGAACCCGGGGCCTTGGTGTTATCAGCACCGCACTCTCCCGAGTGAGCCACGGGCTGGCCCGTTAAAAGCTTTTGTATAAAGATTGAACAATAAATGGGCCATTGAGACCTAGTTGTAGCCTTGAGGTTTTTTTTTTTTCCAGCCATGCTCAGCTTCCTAAGGTAGATGCAGATCTTGCAGAAGGCTCTGTGGCCAGTCTTTTTTTGATACCTTGTCCCCATTCTCCAGTTGGGTAAGTGTCCTCTGCCTGGATTTCTCCCACCACAGCTTAGATCACTCTGCGTGGTGTTTGTTATCAGGATCTGCCCTTCTTCAGCCTTCCCAGCTCCTCCAGCAATGCCCAGTCCTCCTATGCATCCCCGTGTCCCTTCTCTGGCCCACTTCCTCATTCTATTAATGTGGTCCCAGTTCTCCCAGTCTGGCTGAACCCAGAGTGGGTATCTATATTGGAAAGTCAGGATCTTTAGGCTCAGACTATAGCAGGTGGGCGAGTACTAAGAGGGCACAGATATGGGATGAGGGGCAGAGGCTAGGGTGACTGAGGGTGGATTAGGGGGGCATGTGGGAACTGCTTGCCTCCCCAGGGTCCAGTCAGGTCGCTGGTGGGTTTGGGGGGTGCAGATTCAAGGCTGATGAGATCCACTGGACCATTTGGAGTGCAGCTTCTGGAAGGGAAAGTGGGACAAACCCAAGTTTTGGTGTGTGTGTGTGGGGGGGTATATGAATGCAAGGCCTGCCTCTGTGAAGTCTTGGGTAAATGACTAAACCTCTTTGAGCTTCACTTTTCCACCTGTAAAATGGGGGCATTCACTGCTCATCCCTCACAGGGTTGGGACAGCATAGTCCTTGTTGGGCGCTCAGTAAGTTAACTCATGCTTTTACCTGGCAAATGTTTATTGCTTCAGTGATGAGAAAAGGATTGAAGTGATGCTTGTCAAGGCCCCTCGATTGTGCCCTGCACTTCACCGAAGGGATAGGACACGATCGTTTTGTAATCACAAGGTAGCTGGGAGGTAGGTTCTGCTGTGAGCCCCATTTGACACAAGAAGGAATGGAGACATGGGCAGTGGTGTGACATGGGGGAGGCTAGAGCCCCGGGAACGGGGGGCCGGCAGCAGTGACCCTCAGACCCAGGGGCTGGGCTGGAGGCCACAGGACTGGACCTTCTGGCAAAAGCAGTCAAGGTCGACAAGGCTCCTGCCGGCAGGGCCTGGCTCCCTGGTAGACAGGATGGCGGGTGGGAGGGCAGAATCCCAGGCCCCCAATTTAGATCTTCTCCACATAGTTTCCTGGGAAGAGACCCTCCTGGCCATGCAGCCGGCCTTTCCACCAGCCCGATGAATCTGCAGGAGAGAAGGGACTTAAGGTGGTCCCTGAAAGCCCTCATGCTGGCTCGTGTCTGCCTTATTCATCTCCATGTCCCTGACATGGCAGAAGACAGGGGCCGAAGACAGAGTTGTCAACAGATGGAAGAAAGGGAGAGAGGGAGGGATGGACACAGGGTCTTTCCTAGCCCCTTGCTCGTTCTCTGTCATTTTCTAGACCATTCACTTATACTCTTGCTTCATCCATCTCCTTCGACAGGCCCCTCTCCCACCCTCCAGGGTGGACCCAGGAATGACCAGATTTCCTGATCTCCATGAGGCTCCTGCATCCACCTGCAGAGGGTGCTGATGAGTCCCAGGCCTCTTTGGGGACAGACCAGGGGACTAAGGTAGGAAATGGTCTGGGCCATTCAGATGTGACACCTTTCCTGCTCACAAGGGGTCTTCAAGGCAGGCTGTTAGCTCCATGTTTGACAAGTGAGAAAAATGAGGCTCAGGTACCAGGTGTGATGCAATGAGGACATACCTCCAGGGTGGATTAGGAGGTGACCTCCAGACCCAAGGCCATCTAGCCTATGCAGCCACTGGCATGGAAGAGGGTGTCTCTGGTGGGGGTGTCATCTCTGTTCTCCCATGGGAAGGGTGTGCAGTAATGGGGGATTGCCTGGCTGTGTCAAGGTTCTGACCAACCCCTCCCCAACATACCTTCCATGAGGATCTCGATGACCTCGTTCACGTTGAAGCTCAGCTCATCCACATCTTGGCCTATGTACTGGTATAGGGCCCGGCACCTTGGGCCTTGTGTCCGAGGCTGGGGTTTGGGTCTGCCCACACCAGGCACAGGTCTCTGCCCCACGCTGCGCTTCCTCTGCATGCTGTGGGCACAGAGGATGCTTGTCACAGCCCCAGATCCTCTCTCACCCCCTGCCCACTTTCTGGGGCTCCCCTTCTACCCCGCTTACCCGGCCACACCCTGGTCTGGCACGTTGAGGAATTCTGCGTTGTGCTCTGAGGGTGGTCGTGCCCGGTGGCGCCTGCTGGTCCCCAGGGTTGAGGATGGAGGGCCCTGGGGAGGCCTCCGGAAACCCCCTCCAGACATGATCTCCAGAGGCAGAGGGCCCCCTCTGACAGAGGGGGGTACCCCGTTGCGGTCCAGGCCTGTGGTGGGAGCAAGGATGGGGGCACTTATCAAGGTGATGATAGGAGCCTTTGAGGACTTGGCTCCAACTTCCCAGTCTGAGGGAGGAGGCAGCCACATTCTCAACCCAGTGTGCTAAGGACTGAACCAGAGGGAGAGATCCTGGGGCTAGGAGGGACTGGAGTCGGGCTTTGCAGAGGGAAGTTTCTCTCCTCCATTCCTCTGTAGGAGGGCTTTTGTGGGTGTGTCTTGGAGGATGAATGAGAGCTCAACAAGGGGAGTGGGAATTTGGGAGACAGGCAGAGAAAACAGCCCAAGCAAAGTCTTGGAGGTAAGAACAAACTTGATGAATTGACAAAATAAGACGTAGTTTGCATATGGGAGGAGAGAAGAGGTCAGTGGTTAGCTGGGGTTGCATTTTGAAGTGCTGTGAATGACAAACTAAGCTCAGCCTTTATTCTGCGGGAGATGTGGAGTTACGGAGCGTTCTGGACAGAGAAGACGAGAGTGGTCAATTGTGCTTGTTAGATTCCTTTGACTGAAGGTCTGGCTTAGTCCATGGGGCCCACGAGAGACAGTGAAGGGCATCTCCACACCTCTAGGGGGCCCGGGAGCCGACCGGGTAGGGGCCTGGGCCGATCTTCGGGGTTTTCCCTGGGCCATTCCCTTCCGTGTAGGCTCTGAAAAGGAAAAGGATGCAGGGATTTGGGTGGTGGCCAGACCTGACCAGGCTCTTGGCCCCGCCCACAAGATCAATCCTCTCTGTGGCTCCGCCCCCTGAGGCTCGCTGGCTCTTCCCCAGCATCACCCCTTAGGTACTGGCACGTTGGCCCCGCCCAGTGATAGGCCCCGCCCCTCCAGGCCCCACTCTTCACTGGCCCTGTTCCCTGGACCCGCCCACTCCAGGACACGCCCCTATGTTAGCCGATTCTAGGGTTGCCTCAGGCCACGCCCCTTCACATTTTTTGCCCACTCATTGGTCACTTCTCCAAGGCCGCGTCCTCTCTTTGTCTTTCTAGTCCCGCCCCTCCATGCCCTCACCCATATATGATCCGACTCACTGGCCCCGCCCCCACACTCTTGATTGGCCCTCTCGCAGGCCCCGCCTTCTAAGACCACGCCCCTTCCAGACCGCCTCTTTGGTTCCGCCCCCAGTTCCGTGCAGACTCACTGGAGTTCTTGGGCAGGCCGTCACCCACGCTGACCGTGAGCGACCGGCCACCAGCCTTGAGCACTGCCACGTCGCCGGAGCCG